GCGTGGAGAGGTTTGGCCGGGACGCTAATTTGAGATCGTGTTGCGCCTCCTCCCCTGCAGACCTGTTGTGGCGCGGGGCGCGGCGCGGGGCAGGGTCAGTAAACGCCGACTGGGCCGTGCAGGCCGCGCCGGCCGCGTTAGGTAACTAGTCGCGCGCACACACTCACAGGTGCCATCGGCCGGACTCACTCGCGCCGAGCTGCTCAGACCAGACCCGGCCGCCCCCGCCCCGCCCCGCCCGAGCAGGCAGGCTGGCACCACCGGCACTTTCGCTTTCCTCTGCACTCTGCAGGCCGACCGATACCGAGTCGATTCTGGCTGGGCGGGTTCGACCCGCACACGCGCCACCACCGGCCACCCTCGCTTAGCAGCGCGCACAAGAAGGCTGAAGAGTGCTCCGTGCGGACCTTGTTGAGAAAGGTCGCCCGTCGAACCAAATGGGTGCTCTTTTCGGCGCGCGCGTTTTTACTTCGATGCGTTGCGTGCGAGTGTCGCGCCGTCGTGTGACGTCTACCTCGGAGTGAGTGTGCGAGGATCGGACTAGGCTCCCGCCGCGCTGCTGGTTTCTCCCTCGACACGGCGGCCACGATCCGACCCATCCGACCACGCGAGAAGAGGGTGGTGGAAGCGTTGGACAAAAGCCCGTCCTCCCGACATCGTCACCACCACAGAGCGAGAACGGTAGAGGAGCGGGACCAGCTAAAGTTTGCAATCATCGACAGCTGACGGTCAGAGTGATGTGAGACGGCCGCCGAGTCGTTGACGAGGTCGTTGAGCATGGCTCCTGGGCCCAACACGGACGTGGCGGTGCTGGAGCCCCCAGCCTGCGCCTGGCTGGGCGGCTACACCAAGGGCACGGTGACGCTGGGCGAGCTCGGGCCGGCCGGAGCCGGACCCGCCGCCCGGGGCGTGTCGGCCGCCCCCGAGACCTCCACCGCCGACAGCTCTATCAGCGACACCCGCTTCAAGCGATTTGTGCGAAAGATTCGGCACAGCCTGTGCGAGCTGAGGCACAGTAAGTCTCTCGTGTGCATGACCTGTCGCCGGTCTGCCGATCTTTCACTATTATAATACCGGGATGGCATTACTCGAATGGAGAGCAGTGTGGGGAGTCTGGGAAGGGGTGGGCAACATGGTTTTGATTGTTGCGGCCAGCAAACAGACTTCTTTGCATTGTCGTCAAAGGAGCCATGGATATCCTCTCGGCCATTGAAAATTATGACAGAAAGTATGCATGTCGTCAAGAATTGTGATTCCCGGTCTCAAATTCAGAACGTACGGCAAATTCAACGTGAGTCTTTAGGCTCGGCCCGTAGTGCCGCTTCTTGGCCAGGCTCATTACAGCCCTCTCTCATCTAGCAGAGCTGCCAAATCTCATTTGAACCTATGAAACCCAGTATCAGGAGTGTTAAAACTATTTATCGCACATGTTCTTGCCTCCTTATCTATTTTTTTGTATCTTTTTTTTCTGATTGTATTTTAATTTACATGACATCTCAGAAAACACAGCAGATAATCTGTACATGTGACACCTTTTAACTTGGGATTGTTTTTCTCCTTTACAGATAGAGATGGCAACAAGGTGACGAGTGTGGTGGCCACACCTGGCCCGGCTTCACAAAATGACCGGCCTCAGGAAGTGTCATACACAGATTTGAAGGTCATTGGAAATGGCAGCTTTGGTGTTGTGTTCCAGGCCAAGCTTGTCGACACAGACGAGCTTGTCGCCATCAAGAAAGTGCTCCAGGATAAAAGATTCAAGGTTTGTAACTTGCATGACAATGTGTCATCCTTTTTTCTCTCTTAATTTAACAATAATAATACGGTCAATGAATTCTCTGCTCTTAGAATCGGGAGCTTCAGATAATGAGACGACTTCAGCACTGCAACATAGTCAAACTGAAGTATTTTTTCTACTCTGGTGGAGAAAAGGTACACCTTTATAGTTTAATAATTATTTAATCTCAAAACAGTAATGTTGAAAGTTTATGGACTTCCTAACCCATGTTTCTCTTCCTATACAGAAAGATGAAGTTTACTTGAATCTAGTACTGGAGTACATCCCAGAAACAGTGTACAAAGTGGCGAGGCACTACAGTAAATCAAAGCAATATGTACCTATTAGTTATATTAAGGTAAGTACAGTGATTAAGTTTCAAGTTTAATAAAACCCTCTCACATGTGTTAAAGTCGAACATTTTCTTTATAGTTGTACATGTATCAACTATTCCGAAGTCTGGCATACATCCACTCCTTGGGAATTTGTCACCGAGATATAAAGCCACAGAACCTCTTATTGGATCCTCAATCTGGCGTTCTTAAGCTTTGTGACTTTGGAAGTGCCAAACATCTTGTAGAAGGCGAGCCAAATGTTTCCTACATCTGCTCTCGCTATTATCGTGCTCCTGAACTTATTTTCGGTGCAACAGATTACACAACAAAAATTGGTATGGCATGTTTCTTATTCAAATCTATCATGGTTTTGTGAGAAAAACATGAATTTCTAATCTGATAAGCAAATGTTTTACAGATGTATGGAGCGCTGGTTGTGTTTTGGCCGAACTTTTGATGGGACAACCAATTTTCCCTGGAGACTCAGGAGTTGATCAACTTGTCGAAATTATCAAAATTTTGGGTACGCCAACAAGGGAGCAGATTGTAGAAATGAACCCAAATTACACAGAGTTCAAATTCCCACAGATTGTCTCACACCCTTGGCATAAGGTAAGTTGTACTTTTGATCAAAGTATCTTTGTAAAATAGTTTTTATGGGGACCAATGATGGATTTGTCTACTTTGTTGCGCTGTGTGCTGTGACCCCTTTCTTTCTCTTTGGTTTTGAGGTAAGTGGGCAGATAGCTGCTCGACACTCTTAAAACTTATTTTCTGGTAGCTGGCGTATAAAGCTGTAAACAAAACTGACAACTAAACGTGTTCTTCAGCTGCTCAATATTCTATCTTATTTATACATTATTTTTGTATGTGTATAGTTAGTTTTGTGCTGCTTTGGTACGTCTGGAATTATGGGAAGGAAGACACTGGAGTGAGCTTTTAATTTCCCCTCCCTTCCCTTTGCATCACAAGTGTAATTAAATGGTATGATGTAAGTGGATATAATATTTTGGAGGGAGAAACCACTACGAACCATTATTATTATTATTTGTGCAGAGTATTTTTAGTTTTGGATTATGCATCAGGCTTAAAATCTTGCCTTTATGACAGTGTAACTTCTAATTATGAAGTAAAATACCTCATTTTTTTTTACCAGATCTTAGTTTAATATGACAATCAGAAAGAATAATCCAAAGCATTTTTAAAGTTAGTCATACGTGTCACAGATTGATATGGGTCCCCTCATTACAGCAAATGCTTCAGCGAATGTCACTTCCCAAATGTTCCACAAATCACCAGAAAATAAGAGTAAGTAGCAGGTTTGCGGTGCATTGCAGTGCTGTGACGTGATATGCCATACCTGTGCTGGCTGTGCTGCCTTGGCCAGGCCTTGCCTTGCTCTGCCATGCATTGCAATGCTGCACAATGTCATGTTTGTCATGGATGAGCTGACTTGCCCCAAATCCTACCTGCAATCCAAGCTCTAAGTGTGAATTGAAAAGAAGTTGTAGAAAGATCTGTGAAATCGGTTTCAACTCAAGCTAGCTGCTTTTTTCTTTTCTTTTAGGTACCTTTAAAAATTAGTATTCCAACATTGGGTTTTCTGTGTTAGCAACAGAGGCAGGCATCATGTGTATGATTCAAAAATAATGAACTAGGTTACTGAGTGTTGTACTGATCAGCATTTGTCGAACATGCAAATTATTGTTGCATTGGTTCAACAAATGCATTTTGGAATCTTGCTAATTGAGGCAGAAGCTTTTCAAGTTTTATTTTTCAGTCGGATTTCTAATATCAGTGCTTTCAAAACATCACGTTTTTCTGCCCATAACAACTGCTGAAAGTTATTTTCTTTCCTGCCAGTCCTGTGTTCGGATATTTCCAGCATTAACATTGTTAAGCTTGTTCTGTTTTAGGTAGTATGCTTTCTTGAATTTTAGAGGCTTAAATTGTGTCAAAACTCAAATTTTTTAGCAATGACCCGTAATTGAAGATGACTTTTTATCTATCCATATATCTATCCAGTTTTCACGTACAGTAGGAATGTCTCTTGATATTATGTACATAAACTATTGGGCAAATGTATCCATGGAACTTTTAAAAAATTTCGTCCGTAGGAGTTTTTCAATAGGTGTATTTGTCCACATTAAGTTTTCAGTGCCATGTTATACTTATGTATTTTAAACATGTACCTTGACAGACATTAAGTAAACTCACCAAGAATACGTGAAACCTTGAATTATAATTAATCAGTAATTTTTTAGGTGGCAGCAAGAGAATTGAATATAAAACTTTGATACTTCTAATGGAATTGTATTTTAGATGCTTATTGGTACTCAAGCCAATTTTTATCTAAGTCCTTGCGAGTACTTTATTACACTTGCTTCTGTCCTGTTGCAGGTTTTTAAGCAGGGCACATCTCCGGAGGCTATGGACTTGGTAGCCCGACTTTTGGAGTACACTCCAGCAGCTCGCATTTCTCCCCTGCAAGCATGTGCTCACAGGTTCTTCGATGAACTACGTGACCCTATCACCAAACTGCCCAATGGTTGTCCTTTGCCTCCGCTCTTCAATTTCACAGAGCAGGGTTAGTTCCTTTTTAAAAATACAAATTGCATGCAATTGATGTTATGTATTTTACTTTGAATAATATTACTTCAACTTAACTGTTTATTTTTCAGAGCTAAGCATGGATCCTGCTCTGGCCTCCCGTCTCATTCCTGAACATGTAAGGAATGATCAGGCAACAACTGATGAACTTAATTTGCCTTCAACGTCATCACAGCAGCCTAGCCCTTCAAATGCATCCTCAAGCTTACCATCAACTAGTGCCACTCCAGCTGCTTCAGAAACCACAGATGCGGCCAACTTCAAGGCAACATCGAGCGGCAATGCAAACAGCAGCACAGCCAATGCTGTAGTGGCATCATCAACTGGAATGAACTGATGTCTCAGCCCAACATCTTTTAATTTTTATGGCAAAGTATGAATGATGTGTGATTTTTATATATAACATATATACATACATACACACATGTACACATACATGGCTGAACAGTTCATGTACATGTGTACATTTAATGCAGACATTGTCCACACTAACCCTCACAATTGCAGATTCTAAATATGTGTGCAGGGGTCAGAATGGTTACTGGTTGAGTCAAAAAGTAATTGCCATGTTTAGCATTTAAATTTCATAGCTGTTTTAAGAGGGGCTGTGGCAGGGTTCCCAGTGATAATGGTGCAATAGGCTTTATATAAGGAACAGGTTTCCACTTTGGGATGCATGTGTTGATCATGTGAATATTCTACAGTGTAATTCCTGCGGGTATTGGTGTAGTAACATCATTCAAACACTTTTGGTTGCTTATTAGTGTATGAAAAATTATATGTTTTGGAATTATTTGGAAGCTATATGGATCATGTACATATAAATATCAACATTAATGCTTAGTATACAGTTTGAGTTATAAAGGCAGTAGTATGATCCATCTTTTTTTTCTTTTTTCTTATTGTTTTTTAACGATTGCAAGAAATTACACTCATTTTATTATAACATCATCACCACTTATGGCTCAACATCACATGGGAAATTCTATGAATCTTTCTTATTTAGCTAAATAAGATTGTTGGGGTAAAATTAGACTCTCAAAGCTGTGTGAAAATGCAGGTTCTTATTTCCTACAAGCATTTTTGAACATTTGACCTCAATTTCTTGCAGTGACCTGTTATGGTAGATCCCTGGATAAGGTTAGATAATTTTACAGACAGTAATGGTTGGAAGCAAGTACCTAAATTTATTGTAAAGCTCAAAGGAACAGCATGCTATGAACCCTGGAACATGTGCAATAATTTTACTCTTTAGAAACTGTATCGGTTTTAATTCCCATTTTACCTGGCTTTTCATGATATGCATGCACAAGACATTGTAATGTGAAGTCTTGGTTAGGAATGAGAGGTGTTTGGTTTTGCGCGAGTAACAGCCTCTCTTCTGTTTTGTTTTTTTACAGCGAATTGAAATTTGTCCCATTGACAGTTTGAAGTACTCTGTAAGAAAATAATTGCTGTATTTTAATCATTTGCATTTACTTGTTTATACTTTACAATTTTTTCTTCCTGTTTTGATGTTCTTGATCACACAAGTAGAAAATTAACAGTTTCTTTGGACTTATTTATCATATCACTGCTTTATGGGGTTACTAAATCTAGTAGAAACATATTACAGTAATGTGCAGTCTCTTTGGTTTGCATTTAGCCTTGTTCTTGTAGATAAAATTTGTGAAATGTAATGTTTAAAAACCTTGACTCCCTAGGTGTGTTATATTTCATGAACCAGTGCTGAGTGGTATAATTATCCTTTCAGTCTAATTGTTATAACTATCTGAGGAATAAATCAGAGTTTGTTGGCTAGTGTGCAAAGATATTGGTGGAAGACAACTTCTAATAACTTTTTTGTTTTACCAATATTTGTAACTTTGCATTATGTAATAAGTCCAGAAGCTAGACTGAATTGCTTCTTTACGTACAATAGATTTGACCCTCATTCTGATTCATTAGAACCTTGGAATAATGTATCATTTAATATACTAGTTCATAATTTTAATTTTGTTGTGCCAGTTACAGTTTGAATGTTTGATACCTTAAGAGTTCATCCCAGTTGGTTTTTTAGGTCCACTGTTTTTTTGTTGTTTTTTTTTTTCTTTTTGTCCTCAAAATTAGACACTGGTTGGGCAGTAAGACACAATAGGAGATGAGGGCTGGGTTTGTATTGCTTTGACCTTGAAAGTAGTCAGTCATTGATCTCAGAGCCATTTTCTGGGAGAGATCGATCCCAGAAACAATGACCAGCCTAGAAAGTGAAAACCAGTGATAACTGGAATCAATATCCTGTAAAGTAAAATATTCCAAAAGGAAATGATAGGGACCCTTAAACCGTTTGGTAAACATGTTATTTATGAACTTTTTTTTTATTTAATCATTGTTTATTTGTATATATAAATAATTCTGGTTTTGACTTGCTGTGTGTCCCTCCTGTACATACAATTTTAAGGATTTGGATTAGCTCATGTTTTAGACTAAATTCAAACATGATTTTGGTTAATCATGATGCAATGAAGTATCTTCTCTTGGTTCTACTTTCTTTTTTTTAATAAACACTGGTAGTACAGTAATAGTTGTGGAATTTTTAAAAGAATATCTGATTTCTAGTCCTTATGTCCTAACACTTTATAATCTATGTTCTACACAGTAGAATGTACCAATCAATGGTTTTGTATGTGCGTAGAAGAACTATCTGCATTTTCATGGTTTCACTTTCTGCTGAGGGTTAGTGGAGGATCTGCATTGTGACACTTTTTAAAGTACTTTGATCCCACAAATACCAAGAAACTCTTGAACACTTTCATTTGAAGGTTGTACTGCCTTATAATAGAGTATTTCTATTATGACTTATCTGAAATTAATCTGGTGATTTTACTGTTGCAGCATGTTCTGACGTCATGAACTGCGGATCACATTGTGGGGGACTCAATCGGCATAAGGCGGAAAATCTTCAGACCGAATAATTTTCGTTTTTATCTCCTCTTGGTTCAATTAACTGGTGTTTCAGTCTAACACAAATGTATAGTTAGTGTGACATGCCTGTTTGTT